TTTGTACTTATTTTAAAAAGTAAACAAAGGATTTCCTGCAAATAAAAACCCTGATAGAGCCTCGTCCCAAAGGGCCAGGAGCACCTGTTAGCGGCGCTGCTGTCGTCACAAACATCGCTGCTGCGTTGTTCGCTATTTATTTGGAGAGAAGTTCCCAGAAAGCTTTTGGTGCGTTTCCCCTCACCTGCACAGTCCTGCTGCTCGTGTTAGAGCACACACGTGCCCGTAAGTCACCCTGAAGCGGTGATCTCCAGGTGGAAGATCCAGTGACTTCCGCGGTGTCCACCTGGGGCCGGGACATGCTGTGGCTCCGGGGATGCGCTCTGTGGCTCCGGGGACACGCTCTGTGGCTGTAGGGAGTTGAGTCAGAACGTGATGTGCTTCGTTCCTGGAAAATGAAGCCCTGGGCGGTGGAGGCACCGGAACACGGGTCAGGTCTGTGATCACCGACTGCCGACCATTTGGGAGAAAAACAGCCAAGAAAGAGCACCCAGAGGCAGCCCAGGCCCGGGTGCGCCTGCTCGTGGCTGAAAGGCTGACCTGGGAAACCAGCCTCCGCTGTTTGGAGCTGGGAGCGTCATCATGGAGATGGAAACCTTCCTGGTGCCACAAACCCCTGCTTGTCATCAGATGGCGCCGTATTTGTTCAGGTGGTTCAAGCAGGAAGGGCTGAGGCAGAACAAATTTGTTCTTCCTGAAAGGCGCCTTTGTGTGCATAAAAGAATACATTTCCTGTCTTTCCTCCCCCACTTAATGGCCCATTATCAGCCAATTAAACCCATGTTATACCGCCCTCGCCAACTAACCCTGTATGTGTCGGGGAGCAGCGCTTGATCTGTGTATGAATTTTGTATAAAAGCTTTAATTGTAGGTTTTTTCTTTCAGTCTGTGGTGCCTTCTGCCCCAAAGAAGTTCAGAGGTATGACCGAGTTCCTTGAGACACATTTACGGTCTCGCTGAGACAGTCGAGCTCAGACACACACAGTAAACGCGGTGTTCTATTTTTGGAAGTACACTTGTATTCTGTCATTTAGGACTTTTGCAAAGCGGATGGGGAGAAGCATTAGATGATGTCTGTAATCAGAAACTACCAAATGAAGCAAAAGAAGGATTTTTTTTCATTGTCCGTTAGCTGAGGCTGAGGACACAGTGATGGGAACGATGTTTGAAATGAAGCCTAATGGGTAAAGAATTGGTTTAAAAACGAAGAATTTATTTTTTTTTTGAAGCCTGAAAATTTTATTATTTTTTTAAACTATGAAACCCTATGTCCTTCAAGACTAAACATAAAGAGTTGCTCCTGTGTGATGTCAGCACTTGGTTATACATGCCTGTCATTTGTGACTGGAACTCTCACCAGATTCATGATGTCAGTGGAATCTTCTGGGTAAATAAGGGACCACTTACACTTTTGCTTGTGAAAGTAGAAAAACTTATAAGGGAACCATTAAAATAAGTCTAGGTTGAGCCTAGAAAGGCAACACAGCCCTCTAAAACTTGGTTGGTTTCTTCTAAAAAGACTGAGTTACCAAAATACTTTGTGAAGAGTTTTTTTAATGTTTATTTAAAAACAATTATAGTTTTAAAGTTGAGATCAAGAAAACGTTAAGATAAAATTGCCGTATCTAAAACGGGGGCACACCGAGCCTGGCAGTGTGGTGGCCTCTGTCCGCGGGCCCCCACACCAGCCCCAACCGGTTCAAAACCATCTAGTAGGGCGTTTGCGTCTTTTTGCTCATGGGGAGAACTTAATTTTCCATGTTTATTTAAACAGCTCAACGTGACTCCAATAGAAAAACGTGTTGTGTGTAAAACACGGCTCTGCCAGCAGGTGGCGCGCCGGCACCACACGTGTCTCTCACTGCTTATAGCTGAGTGGGCTGGCTGTGGGCTACCCTCTTTTCTGTAGCTGATCCTGGGGGTGTCGCCTGGGGTTCCCTGAGGCCAATTCCAGACACAACAGCCCACAAAACCGCCCACCTGTGCCTGTGTGTTGGGGGGAATGTCAAACAGAATGAACAGATATTGAAGAAAATGATTTTACTTGTTAGTGGCCTAATCGCTTGGAAAACGAAGTCCCTTCCCCTCCTTTCTCGAATCCACCTGCAGTCAGTCCCCGATAGGAGAAGCCGTTCGCTTAGCCGGTGGTTCTCAACCTTCCTAATGCCGCAACCCTTTAATACATTTCCTCACGTGTGGTGACCCCAACCATAAAATTATTTTCGTTGCTACTTCATAACTGTAATTTTGCTACTGTTATGAATCATAATGTAAATATCTGATAAGCAGGATGGTCTTAGGCGACCCCTGTGAAAGGGTCGTTTGACCGCCAAAAGGGTCGCAGCTCGCAGCGCTCGCTGCGTGGGCCGCTGCTCGGTGCGTAGCGGGGGGCAGGAGGGGCTGGGTCTTCTCCAGCCACAGGCGAGGTGGTGGGGCAGTCCCTGAAATGATGGCGCGCTGGAGGCGGGATGGATGGGCCACGGAACCAGGAAGTCATTTGGGTCTGCACGTGGGATTTCATGCTGACTCAACTGTAAAGAGTATTGTTTGCCGACGCTGCTCCGTTTGACTCTATAGCTAGAGACTCAGGGAAGGAAAAACCCCTTCGCCGGGCCACTGTGGCCACTGGGACAAGTCTGCTGCCAGGGTTTGGCCCGCGGTTCCCTCTGAGGACACACAGGTGCTGGTGCAGGAGGGGACCCACACCCACAGCAGGTGGTGACATGGCTGGACCTGACACCGTCGTCAGGCGGGGCTGGTGGCAGGGCCTCCCTGTGACCGGAGGAGTGTCCCCGGGGGCTGCAGGTGCGCTGGAGCCTGAGCGCGGAGTCCCTTGTTTAGGAAAAATGCTGTGTCGTGTTCTGCAGAGCAGGCAACGCCGTTAAAGTCAGGTCCCCAAAGGGTGTCAGCGGACCCACAGGCTCACGCGTGAAGAGGCGGGATCGGGAGGAAGGGGGCTGATTCCCGAAGCGACTCACGAGACCGATCGTTACTCCGTCATCGTCAAAGCTCCCGCGGCCCTGGCGGTCTGGTGTCAGCGGTAATCAGCCGGGAGCAGGTAACTGTGACGTCTTCATCTGCGTGTCGTGATGGGCTGGCGAGTCCCTCGGAAAACGCAGGGAGGGGACGGCCTTCTCGGGGTCGTGCGGGCAGAGCCGAGCGAGTCGAGGTGCCTGTGCTCCGTGTTATGTACGTACCTGTTCTGTTGGTGGCTTTTCCCCGTGGGGAAAAAAATCATTTGTATTCTTTTTGAGAACATGCTGTTCTAATACTAAGATACGGAATCAAATGCTACTGTAATTCAGTAACAAACTGCTTTTGAGAAAAGGCCTTGAATTTCAAAACCCGGAGCTGTCACTTTCGGAAATATCTCTATAAACTTAGAGAAGTCGAGGCTGATTCCGGTGTAGACGGGACATTGGGATACGGATGTGCTTTAGCTGGGTTATTGGTGTCAGGGGCCAGATGACATGCAGCCACCTCAGCTTCGGGGCAGAAGATGTTAACGAGAGAAGCGCACCAGCTGCTAAGAGAGGGGGACTGAGGCTGTTTCTTAGGTTGATTTATTCTTCTCTTTCCAATACCTTCAGAATTTACCCGAAATGAAATAAAACTCCTGACCTGTGACCCGCCTGATGATCAGGTGCCGACCGCCTGCGGCAGCTTCACGGATAATCAGAGCCGACCCCCCACGAGCTCCCCCTGCGTTGTGCCTGCGCCGCCCCAGCTAGCGGGTGGCTTTCCTTCTTTCTTCTTTTATTGTGGCAAAATCTGTAATACCACCTTCACGATTTTATACTCAGAATGCTGTACCAGGTCATCATCTACTTCCAAAACCCTCGTCGCCCCAAACAGGAGCTCTAACCACTAGCAAATGTCTGGCTTCCTGTGGGTTGTTTTGAGTTTTCTAAAAATTCCTTCCACTGCTGCCCCACTGCAGTCCGAGTCCCCCAACCATCCATCCTGGGCTCCTGCACAGGCCAAGGACTCGGGGTGATTGCCCAGCGGACTCAGACTCAAGCTGCTGACCGAAAGCAGCCGCCCAGCCACCAGCACCCCTGGCCCACGGCATCTCCGGCCCACAGCATCCCTGGCCTATGGCATCCCTGGCCACCAGCCTCCCCAGCCACCAGCATCCCCGGCCACTGGCATCCCCGGTCCATGGCATCCCCAGCCCACGGCATCCTGGCCCACAGCATCCCTGGCCACCAGCATCCCTGGACACCGGCATCCCCGGCTCATGGCATCTCCGGGCCAGGGCACCTCCTAGCCCACAGCTCCTGCTCCTCCCACTCCCCTCAGCCTGACCCACTTGCCGCCCGTGATGAAGATAAAGTTCTTGGCCACGACCACGCTGTGTGGGCACGGACGTTGGTAACAGCCTTAAATTCACTTAGAGAAATTGGAAACAGTGAGTCACAT